TTTGCCACAAGTTCACACCTTTTCGTTCACATAATTACGTGTGGAAAATATAAGTTTACTCCAGATAAGTCAACTTCTTACAAATGAAGTTTTAGATACTTGAAGTACATTAAATAAGATATTATTTCAACCTCATGACATTTTTAATAAAAACGATCATATCTTAATTACTATTTTTTGCAATGTTTATATATATTATAGCTTATATATATATATATAATAATAATTGATATTAATTATTTTTCCACGATTACTAACAAAAATAATCAGGGTAGGCAATTTCTTTACAAAATGTTCGACTCGCATGATAAAGAAAACAACTTCATAAATTTGAAAATCCTGGATATAAGTTTACCTCAGTATAAGAGTGTAAACACGAAAATATTTGCTAAAAGACTTTAATGAAATCAATTCAACTTTTATATAACTATCTGAAATGTTTATTATTTAAAAAAAACAAATCACTACAATAAAACTCTTTCAGTTACAAGATAATTATTTCTATAACAGTATGTTTACACTAAGACTTATCAAACTTAGCTTTCGCTTTTTTATATAGATTTTCTATCAATTTTGAATGGATTTTGTATTAAAAATAGAAATAGAATAGAGTATTTAAAGCTAAATCAGTGCCACAAACTGATGTATATATAATCAAATAGCAGAGATGACATATGCATAGAGACCCCGGACTTAAAAGTTTTTAGATTGCCGTTTATTATATTCAAAAATAAACTAAAGATCTGTCAAATCTACCAAGAGACACAGTTACATAGAAGCAGCTTAACAGACAAAGAAGCTGCTGACTTCTATATGTTTATAAAAAAACAATTATTACTATGATTATTTTAACAATATAACAAATGCAAAAACCTCCTTCAGATATTTTCTGAGGCTTTAGAATTCTGACTCGAGACTAATCTCCTCTCTAACTTTTTTAGTGAACTATAACTAAGTAAAAGTCTATTTCAATTTCGGATTCGAACAATAATATTAATCACAACCCAACAATAATTATGAGAGTTTTCTATTAATAGACTCTCCAGAATCCGAACTTGAAGTGAATCATTTCTCTTGTTTCTTTAATCTGCTATAAGTAAAGAAAATTCTAACATTAAAATAAAATGAAACAAAACTTCCATACAAAAAATACAATCTGACAAGAAATATCAAGGCTGTACAGAAACCGAACGTGAAAAGAATTTGTGCTCTAGATTCCTTTGTC